TTTACTTAAAAAAAAAGTATTCTAATTTGACTTATTTTTCATTATTTTTATTTCGTGGTGTTTTTATACGTAATTTTAAGAGGTAATTTTTTATATATTTTTTAATGTTTTTCGACGTATTGTATCACGATTTAAGTTATTATGTGAATGTTTAATGGGAGGAAAAATAAGTTACTAGGGGTATAAATATGTTAAGATAAAGAGGTCTGTTAAACTCCCGTGAATGAAAGGAACATTCTTGCGGCGATAAGTTACGAGCTAAAGGGGGGTGAGGGATGAGGGGTGGGGGGAGGGGGGGTGGGGGGGAGGGGGATGGGGGAGGGAGGGGGAGAGGGGAGGGAGGGGAGAGGGGAGGGGGGGAGTTTTGTGTTGAGAGTATATAGTTAAGATAGTTCAGAGAAATTTACGTCACACACACACACACAGAGTTTATATTTATAATTATCTTCTGCAGAGTACCTTCAACCCTCTCCTTCCCTCAACCATCCCTCTCATCCTCCCTCTCCACCATCTCCCCTCATCCCCCATCCCTCTCATCCCTTCCACCACCAGAGTAGCACTGCAGATGAATGAACCTGTCACTCTCCCTCCCCACCTCCATATCCCCACCAGTCTACTCCCCTTCCTCCCCCACCTCCCCTACCTCTGTACTAATGTGTGTGTGTGTGTGTTAAGAAAATAAATACTGAGGAGATCGAGAATGAATGAAAGAAAGAGAGGAAGAATAACAGAATAACACACAGAGAATTAGAGAGAGAGAGAGAGAGAGAGAGAGAGACCGTATAAAAGACAGAGGAAGACGAGCAAGCCAAGACAGAAAAGAGGAGGAGAGGAAGAGGAGAGGGAAGAGGAAGAGGAGGAGGAGTAAGAGGAAGAGAAGGAGGAGATAGAGGAGGAGGAGGAGGAAGAGCGTGTGACAGGAGGTAACAGCAGGATGAACAAAAACAGCTCACGCCTCCTCCACTCCTTGAAGAATCTACAGGTTCACTCACACGTTGAAAATCCCGCCTGGAAATGCTATCAAAGAGGAGACGATGTTAGCGAGCTTCAGTTCCTTCTCCCAGCCCAGTGAAGCACAGCGACCCACCGTCATCGTCCGTCAGGCTATAATAATGGATGGATGGGGGTTCTCCACCTTCAGGAGCTATACCATGAACTCTAAGGTTTGATTCCCTTTATGGTATAAGATCACGTCTAGAGAAAAACACAAATAATCCCGTTTAGAATCGTCATAAAGGTTCATTTTTTGTTCTCAATGACGTAACGAAAGGCAGCGAGCCACATCATACGCCATTACGGTCTGTATATTCTGAGGCCGTTCATCACCTTCAGGAGATATTTAGTAGAGTTTTCATCCGTTTATGGAAGATTACGTGGATAGGTGGTGATTACGTGGATAGGTGGTGATTACGTGGATAGGTGGTGATTACGTGGATAGGTGGTGATTACGTGGATAGGTGGTGATTACGTGGATAGGTGGTGATTACGTGGATAGGTGGTGATTACGTGGATAGGTGGTGATTACGTGGATAGGGTGGTGATTACGTATAGGTGGTGATTACGTGGATAGGTGGTGACATGGATAGGTGGTGATTACGGGATAGGTGGTGATTATATAGGTGGTGATTACGTGGATAGGTGATTACGTGATAGGTGGTGATTACGTGGATAGGTGATGATTATGATAGGTGGTAACATGTGATAGGTGGTGATTACGTGATATGGTGATTACGTGGATAGGTGGTGATTACGTGATAGGTGGTGATTACGTGATAGGTGATGATTATGGATAGGTGGTGATTACGTGGAAGATACGTGATAGGTGGTGATTACGTGATAGGTGGTGATTACGGGATAGTGGATTACGTGGATAGGTGATGATATGTGGATAGGTGGTGATTACGTGATAGGGTGACGATTACGTGGATAGGTGGTGATTACGTGATAGGTGATGATTACGTGGATAGGTGAGATTACGTGGATAGGTATTACGTGATAGGTGATGTTCTTTTTGTTTCTGGTCTTCTAAGCCACTGACCATACCTGCAAACTCTCCTACACCAATTAATGGGGGTGAGGATTTTTCTGTCCATGGGAAAAAATATTCCAAGATTTTTATTTTTGTGAATATCTCATGAGTATACATATGGTGAGGGGAGGGGGGAGGGGAGGGAGGGGAGGGAGGGGAAGGAAGGAGGAGCAGGGAGGGAAGGGGGGAGAGGGAGGGAGGGAGGAAAGGAGGCTGGGAGCAGGAAGGGAGGGAGGGAGCAGGAGGAGGGGAGGAAAAGAGGCTGGGAGCAGGGAGGGAGGGAGGAAAAGAGCTGGGAGCAGGGAAGGAGAGAGGAAAGGAGGCAGGAAGGAGGCAGGCAGGGAGGAAGGAGGGAGGGAGAAAGGAGGCAGGGAGTAGGGAAGGAGGGAGGAAAGGAGCAGGGGCAGGGAGGGGAGGAAAGGAGGCAGGAAGGAGGCAACATGGAGGAAAGGATGCAGGGAAGGAGGCAGGCAGGGAGGAAAGGAGGCTGGGAGCAGGGAAGGAGGGAGGAAAGGATGCAGGGAAGGAGGCAGGGGAAGGAAAGGAGGCAGGGAGGAAAGGAGGGGGGGGGAAGGAGGGAGGAAAGGAGGCAGGAGCAGGGAAGGAGGGAGGAAAGGAGCAGGGAAGGAGGCAAGCATGGAGGAAAGGATGCAGGGAAGGAGGCAGGCAGGAGGAAGGAGGCTGGGAGCAGGGGGAGGGGAGGAAAGGATGCAGGGAAGGAGGCAGGCAGGGAGGAAAGAAGGCAAGGAGGAAAGGAGGCAGGGAGTAGGGAAGGAGGGAGGAAAGGAGACAGGGAGCAGGGAAGGAGGGAGGAAAGGAGGCAGGGAAGGAGGCAGGCAGGGAGGAAAGGAGGCAGGAAGCAGGGAGAGAAGCAAGGAGGGAGGCAGGGAAATTTTTCTGGGAGACGTTATAGAGTTAGACAGTCACCGTAAAACTCGTTTCTGGATTCAAGGATCAGAGTTGTTTTGAAATGCATAAACATGACGAGTCGAGTGATTTATTTAACCCATCGACACACTGGTAATGACTGTCCGTAGGTGTTTTGTGTGTACGTGGGTGTTTGAATGACTGTTTGTCCATTTTTCCAGTTCGATGACAGCTACGAGGCTTCGGGGTATTGGAATATGTGATTTATTCAAGGTTTTACTCGCTGGGAACTGACCGAATCTTCAATATTTATCGAGGTTCAGAAGGACACAATCTGCCTAATGTGTTCCGGGAGTTGGCAGATGTGAAGCTTATTGATGAAGCCTCTTGGTGAAGCTCTTGTATGAAGCTCCAGAAGCTTTCCTTACGAAGCCTCTGATGAAGCCTCTTGGTGAAGCCTACTGATAAAACCCCTTTAATAAACCCTCTAGTCCCCTGGTCCCTGGATGGACACATAAAATAAAGTAAAACCTCTTGTACACACCATAACCGAACGTCCACACACACGCACACAAAACCTAACCTAACCTAACCTAACCTAACCTATCGACCCGACAACACACGATATAGTCCAACCAGCGCTCCAGAGATCTCCAACTGCAGATGCTCAACATACCAGTACCGCTACTGAAAGTCTTTTTCTTTCATCTGCAAAAAATACGGGAAAAAATACCTAAGTGCCATGGGAAGAAGAGGAGGAGGAGGAGGAGGAGGAGGAGGAGGAGCAGGAGGAGGAGGAGCAGGAGGATAAGGAAAAGGAGGAGGAGGAGGGAGAAAGGAAGGAAGGAAGGGAAAGATTAACCAATGGACACAAGATAAACACAAGAGTTGATGTTTTAACTGTACTGTGGTCAAGGAACGACTCTGGGGCTATTAGTTGGGTTTGTTGACACTGTAGAGCGGTTACTCTGCTGTTACGTCAAATAAAAGAACGTCGTCCAATATTAGTAATTAATTCTTGTCGGGTTTTTGTAGTTATACCGTTATTATTTTTCAGGGTAGTTATTGCATCGGAATTATGACATTTAACTGGTTATTGGACTAAGACGGTCAATTGGTTCTGTATTAGTTTGAGATGAGAGAGAGAGAGAGAGAGAGAGAGAGAGAGAGAGAGAGAGAGAGAGAGAGAGAGAGAGAGACAGAGAGAGAGAGAGAGAAAGATGAGAGAGAGAGAGAGAGAGAGAGAGAGAGAGAGAGAGAGAGAGAGAGAGAGAGAGAGAGAGGGAGAGGGAGAGACAGCAGGATAGTGCGAGGGATGTGGGATGTTGGGACGGGGGCAGGAAGAGGGCAGCACCAGCAAGAGGAGGAGGAGGAGGAGAAGGTAGTGGAGGAGGAGGAGGAGGAAAACAAAAGAAGAACACAACAAAAAGAGAAGACGAAGGAGTCACCACTTCCTGGATCACCATCACCAATATCATCAACATGAGTCGTAGAGGATGCGAGAGTTGCTGGGTGTGTATTATCAACCCGTCACACAACCTATACGTGCCTCCACCCACTTGCATATTACGAGGCCTGTTGTCGCAAGATGGGTGGGGGATCGTCTGACACCGTGGTCCTCCTTCTCTCCGAGGTCGTGGCGCGTCCATCGTCGTGTGGGTAGTGTTGTGGGGGGGGGGGTCATCTTCCCAGCCTCCTTTGATGGTGATAATTTTGTTGTCTTCTTGTTGTCATTCTCAAGAGGGAGTAAAAAATCTTGGTGTTGCAAAGGTGATCGTCTAGCAATGTGATTTTCAGGTGGAGGGTCTTGGAATTATTTTAGTCGTTTTGTGGTATCTTCTTATGCCCTGTATTACACACGAGTCAGATCTTTTTTTTTAGTCGTTCTTGGTTGTCGTTCTCTGGTGGTGGTGGTGGAAAGGGTAGTCTGCATAATAGTCGTCCTGTAGAGGTTATTTGGTAGTTGAGCTTCTCCAGAGTACCTATGTGATTGATATCTTCAAGAGGTCGTCATTTTTGCTGTCTTTCGTGTCCAATCGAGGTCATCTAGTCGTTCTTTGTGTCGTCTTTTACCTCGTTAGTCTGTGATTCGTCCATCCGTCAGCACCTAAAAAAGCCCTCAGTCATTCGTCAGCACCTAAAGAAGCCCTCAGTCATTCGTCAGCACCTATAGAAGCCCTCAGTCATTCGTCAGCACCTATAGAAGCCCTCAGTCATTCGTCAGCACCTATAAAGCCCCAGTCAAGCACCCCCTCAGTCATTCGTGAGCACCTAAAGAAGCCCTCAGTCATTGAGTCAACACCTAAAGAAGCCCTCAGTCATTCGTCAGCACCTAAAAAGCCCTCAGTCATTCGTGAGCACCTAAAGAAGCCCTCAGTCATTCGTGAGCATCTAAAAGCCCCCAGTCATCAGCACCAAAAGAAGCCCTCAGTCATTGAGCACCTAAAGAAGCCCTCAGTCATTCGTGAGCACCGAAAGAAGCCCTCAGTCATTCGTGAGCACCTAAAGAAGCCCTCAGTCATTCAGTCATTCGTGAGCACCGAAAGAAGCCCTCAATCATTCGTGAGCACAAAAAGCCCTCAGTCATTCGTCAGCACCTAAAAAGCCCTCAATCATCGTCAGCACCTAAAGAAGCCCTCAGTCATCCGTCAACACCTAAAGCCCCCGGACATCCTGTCAACGCCTAAAAGCCCCGGTCATCCGTCAGCACCTAAAGACATCCTGTCAACACCTAAAGAAGCACCCATCCGTCAACACCTAAAGAAGCACCCGGTCATCCCGTCAACACCTAAAGAAGCCCCGGACATCCTGTCAACGCCTAAAGAAGCCCCGGTCATCCCGTCAGCACCAAAGAAGCACCCGGTCATCCTGTCAACCTCACATCCGTCAACACCTAAAAAGCACCCGGTCATCCGTCAACACCTAAAAAGTCATCCTGTCACACCTAAAGCACCCGGTCATCCCGTCAACACCTTTCATCCCGTCAACACCTAAAGAAGCACCCGGTCATCCCGTCAGCACCTAAAGAAGCACCCGGTCATCCCGTCAGCACCTAAAGAAGCACCCGGTCATCCCGTCAACACCCGAGTAAGACCTGAACTCATCATTATTCCCTCCGGTTGATCGTCGCCTGTGTGAATGAGCACTCCTCCCAGTGGGTGTTGTTGTGACACTCTGCACACCAACACCCACTGTGCACGTAGCCTCTGAGACACCTTCATCCCTCTCTTGACCTCTGTCGTCGTCGTTCTGATCATTCTAGACATTGCTCGTTCACATAACATTATCCTCTTCCATCAGTCCCCTTACGGCATCATCTGGTCATTAAATTCATGTTAAATTTATCTTTACATGCTCATAAAATGTTTCTTTTCTCTTCTTCGTTCTTTCAGTCATCATTCACTGTTCGATCTTCTTTTATGTTACTAATATATAATTATTATAGTCCTCTGCTTCCTGTTCATTGCCCCCATCATTCTTTCATTGCATCTCTACTCAGATCACTCGTTCTCTTAACATGAATGACTATCTCCTCCTTCTTCTCTTCCCATCCTCCTCATCCCCCCCACCTGTTCCTCATCTTACACCTCCCTCCCCCCCAGGATCTCCCTCCTTCCTCACCCCTCCCCCACACACACCTGAATGGCAGTCTCACCTTCAGCGCCACCACCACCAACTCGACCCTCCGTGACCGCCCTAAGGATTTGCAATAATTACTTTCAGCTACTGGTCCGGCCCTCTCAGGTACCCCGCGGGGACCACCACGGCTGTTGCCTCACACTAAGACGCTTAAAACTTTTCTAAAAACACGCGTATAATTTTTTAAGACGAGTTCTATCCTTATTTTTCTCCTCTAAAAACCAAAATTAATCTGCAGGTTTGGAGGAAATTTGTTGATTTGCAGGAGGAAGTTCTTGGAGTGTTGTTACGTTAGGATGGGTTCTCGTGAAGGGTGGCACAAGTGTTTCATTGTGGGTGAGGAGGAAGCTGGTGGTGGCTGCCGGCACGACTTGTGGTCGAGCACCCATCTGGCGGCAACCCGAGAGTCCCCTTGTCGAGGTCGCCGGTGACACGACCCCCTCCCCTCCCCTCCCCTCCCCTCCTTCCTCACACCCCACCCAATCCGTCCCCTCCTTCCTCACACCCCACCCACTCTCCTCTCTTCCCCCACCCCCCACCTTCCTCACCCCCTGCCCTCCCCCACCTTCCTCACCCCCTACCCCTTGAACCTCCTGTGCTACTGCAGGATGATGATGCTGTTCCTGCTGTGCTCTCTTGCTGAACTGGATGCCAATAGCTGCTGTTAGGTGAATGTCTGTTTCTGCTGCAGGAGATCTTAATGATGCTGTTGTTACTGTAGACAGACAGACACAGACAGACAGACAGACAGACAGAACTATAAAACTCGTTCACGCCTTTGAAAAACTAAAGGTATATAATCACAAAATAGCCTGGACTTTACAATTTACAAACACAAAAAAAAAAATAATAATAATTGGAATTTACGAGAAAAAAAAATATCCTCTCCCTCCCCCAACACCTGAGATATATAATTAATAAACAATAATTATCAGTTCACATTATTAAATTACTAAAAAAAATTATTTAATTAAGACAAATATGACGATAATTAAACACTACCCAATCACCGTATCCACTAATTACTTCAATCCATTAGAACCTTAGCAATAAATTAGTAAAATACCTTAATTACCCTCATTATTAAAAACACATTATATTATATCCAGACTACAGTAATTAGGACAATATAGAGTAAAGTATGATTTTCTAAGAACATATTTGTATCATTATTTTAGTATGATATTATATAAATTAGGCTTATTATCATTATAGTAATTATGTTAAGTAGACCTACAGTTTACATAAATTATATATATATATGTTTTGTTTACATAAAATACCAGTAATTTATTCATTTATTTACGTGTGGAAAGATCATCTACCTGCGCCATCTGTCGGTGTAGTAATGCACTGAGAGGATCATTTAGCCAATAGGAACACAACGCGCGAACATTCAGCCAATAGGAACACAACGCGCGAACATTCAGCCAATAGGAACACAACGCGCGAACATTCAGCCAATAGGAAAAGAGCATGAGGTAGAGAGTATGAAGAGTGGAGTTTTAATTGGCCCCTGTGTGATGAGAAGAACACAAACAAACTAAATTGACTGAATCGTGACCTCATCAATGCTCCGCCCACTCGTGACGTCATCTTCAAGTACCAAAACAACAACCTTCTAGTTATGTCTCGCTATCCTCTAATTGGCTGATTAATCCCGCTCTTGTTTCTGATGGCCTTAGCGTGTAGTTTTCGATATTCAGTAACCTTTTAGCAGTTATAAAGAGAAGAGAACATTGACAGTACACCTTTCACATATACTTAGACTTTAGCAAAGCATTTGACAGAGTACCACATCAGAGGCTTCTGAGAAAAATTAAGGCTCATGGTACCGAGGGGAAAGTTTCAAATTGGATAAAATCATGGCTCACCGATAGAACGCAGAGGGTCAGCGTAGATGGTGTTAAATCTGAGTGGGGCCGTGTAACCAGTGGGGTTCCCCAGGGATCAGTACTAGGCCCACTCTTGTTCATAATCTACATAAACGATTTAGATACTGGGATCAGCAGTGACATAAGCAAGTTTGCGGATGACACCAAAATAGGGCGGCAAATTAATTCAGGGCAGGATGCAAATGCATTACAGGAGGATCTAAATAAACTGCAGGGGTGGTCTGAAAAATGGCAAATGAAATTCAACACCAGCAAGTGCAGCGTACTTAATATTGGAAGAACAAATACTTATAATGTATACAGCCTGAACAACATCAACCTAGAGAAGTCGACTTGTGAAAGAGACCTAGGGGTACTTGTAAGCCCGGACCTACGGCCTAGAAAACAGTGCGTTAATGTTCGAAATAAGGCAAACAGAGTATTGGGTTTTATATCTAGAAGTGTAAGTAACAAGAGTGCAGAGGTCTTATTGCAACTATATCTTGCGCTAGTCAGGCCGCACCTCGATTATGCGGTTCAGTTCTGGTGCCCCTATTATAGAATGGATATAAATTCACTAGAGTCGGTGCAGCGAAGAATGACAAAAATGATTCAGGGACTTAGAAACCTTCCATATCAGGATAGGTTAAAGAAACTTAACTTGCATTCCCTAGAAAGACGAAGAGTGCGGGGAGATATGATACAAGTATTTAAGTGGGTGAAAGGAATCAATAAAGTTCTTATAATATCCGAGCAGGATATGACTCGAAGCAACGGATTTAAGTTGGATAAGTTTAGGTTTAGGAGGGAGATAGGAAGAAACTGGTTCACAAATAGGGTGGTGGACGAGTGGAACAAGCTTAGCAACTTTGTAGTAAGTGCGGGAACTCTGGAAAGTTTCAAAAGGAGGCTAGATAGATTCATGGATGATAGAGAGTGGTAGTAACCCTCGACAGGAGCTGCCATGCACAGGCCAACCGGCCTATTGCAGACTCCTTATTTTCTTATGTTCTTATGTTCTTATATACGTTGAGACATTGTTATGTACCTATTTGACATTTCATAACCGAATGACAGAACACATATCGAATGACATTCTAAAATAACTGTTCGTTCTTGCTAACAGAAATAATTGACTATCGGTTTATTGTTCACGTTTGTCAATTTCATAACCTTTTTGTCAATCATTTCTGTTAGCATGAACGAACAGTGTCTCAACGTATATGTGAAAAGGTGTGTTTTAAAAATTCCCTCCCACTCCCCTAAGTTATTTCACCTAATAATTAAACACCTTAACTCTATCTTTACAACAACAACAAAAATAATACTAATAATTACTTCTTATCTTACCACAAAAATAATAATAATAATTCGCGTCTTGTATGATAATCTAGGATACAAAATAGTGGATTATTTATTTAAGTACATAAGGAAAAATTCAATGACTGCCACCTACTGAGAATACAATATCCAATCACTTATAATACGAAAATAAATTAAAAATAACATTAAGAAAATTATGTTCCGGATATATCTTAATTAGTTAGATTATCTTAGTATTAATTACTCGACAACACCATTGTTCCTCGAACACTTTTACAGATTAGGACCCAAATTCGCCGCAAACAGAGAGAAGCTCGGGAAGCAGTCATCCCCCTGGACTCCCCGCCCACCTGGTACGATGTCCTCCGTAAACTTCCTGACCTCTCGTACGTCTACGGGAAAGGGTCGCGGAAAGGGGACGTGATTGCTGCCCGTATCATCATTGGGTATGACTTTGCTTGGGAGATTGGTATCCCCGCATCCCCTGAGCAACGCTCTTGTGCATTATGCAGAAGACCCGACAGCTGCACCCTCATCCACTACCTCCTAAGATGTCCCCACACACAACGCTTCCGTGACGCCTGCTGGACCACCACTCCACGACCCCCTGACGGAGACACGATGATCCTCCCCATACTGGCCAGATATTTTGTAAAAAACATTGATTATGTGTTAAAGGAATATCCTTCCTTCCTTAGGCTTTAGTAAGCCCCTTTATAATATTTATACTGTATATACTTTTCACACTTGCCAGATGCTTCTGGTGTCATTGTACAGGGGTACCTAGTGACAGCACTAGGATCCCGCTTCCTCGATCAAGGAATAAACAATTGAAATTGAAATTGAATTGACAATACCATAATTAATTACGTTCACTTAGCATCAATTACTCGACAATACCATAATTAGTTACGTTCACTTAGAATTAATGACTCGACAATACCTTAATTAGTTACGTTCACTTAGCATCAATTACTCGACAATACCATAATTAGTTACGTTCACTTAGAATTAATTACTCGACAATACCTTAATTAGTTACGTTCACTTAGCATTAATTACGACACAAAATTAACTCAAGAGATTAATTCAATATTTTATAATACTGTATCTTATTACTGACTGGCTGGTGAACGTTTATACTGGAAGGTCGAGTCC